TTTGATGGATCCACATCCCAACACCTCTGCATCATTTGCACATAATCGTCAGGCATTTCAGGTAATATTGGTGGTCGCAAACCTTTTGCACATATATCAAAAATCAAACGATGATTGTGACCTCTATTGTCAAATGGTGGATGGCCTGCAAATATTTCCCACATTAACATCCCAACACTATAGATATCTGTTTCTTTTGTGTTCTTTACATTAATTTCACCTCTAAGTAGCTCAGGTGCAATGTATGATATAATTCCATAGACTTTATTTGATGATTTTTCATCAACTGGTCCACATAATCCCAAATCTGTAATATAACAACCACCCCCACTTATTAATATATTACCACTATGTAAATCACAATGGATTAAATCCTTTTCATGTATCCAATATAATGCAATACATAAATAATAAAAGATTGTAATTCTGTCGTTTAATGTTAAATTTAAATGATTTTTTCGTAAATAATTCCTTAAATTTCCTTCTGATAAATAAGTTAAAACTATTGCATAATTTCCATTATCTGGGAATTTGGTTACACCATAACATCTAACAATTGATGTTGATTTAATTTTACAATAATTTATTGCCTAAAATAAATATAAAATCAATTAGTATTATATAACATGGTATTGTTTATTTTGGTTTTAAATGACAACTACCAACCTCGTCAAAAAAATGTTTTCCTGGATTATTTGAATTGTTTAAACTTTTTAATACTACTTTTTGTCTTCCAAAATAACTAAATTCTTTTTTATTTTCATTGTGATCATTTATTTGTCCTCTTGTCCATGCAGCAGTGTAAATTGAACTAAATCCGCCTTCAGTTAACTTTTTTATATCATCAAATTGCTCAAAAGGTATCCATTCCAAAATATAGTCTGGTAAAGATGATTTCATTTGACATTGTTGAATAAAATTATCAACTATGTTATTCCCAGACGTCCAAGTAGTGAAAAGACTCTGTAATTGTAAGCTAATGCAACTTTCACAGAATCTATCAGAGTATCTTGTCAATTTACACTTGCTACACTCTTTCGGTTTTCCTTTTTTATTTTTTGCATTATTTAATTCAAATTCATAAATAAATTTTTCTTTATAATATTCTTTTTCATTTTCAGAAAGCTCTTTGTTTTTTTGGACTAATGAAAAAAAATAATCTTTTCTACTTTTTTCATCAGAATTAATTACTGCATCGTTATGCATTCCATTATAAATTTTATTTACAAAATCCCTTTTTTCTGGTGATAATGACAATAATAGTTTACCATATAACATTATATAAAAAAATAAAAAATAAAATTTGGCTTTGTGTTTAATGAATAGAGTGGTTGGTTACATTATTTGAACACAAAAGAAAAGGCTGCCGTGTCACGATCTCCTGCCAAAACCTGCAAGTCGTGCAGGGTTTTTGCCGATTGTCTCTTTTTACGTCTCTGTTTTTGGCGCGATCAACGTTTTCACTATATTTTGCATTTCTTGCGTTGCTTCTCCTTACAATTTAACTTAAAACATTGCAATGAAAGCATGAAGCATGATCAGAAAAATTCTTTGTGGGAAATATTTGCAGGCTATCCACCATTTGACAATAGAGCTCACAGTCATCATTTAATTTTTGATATATGTGAAGGTTTACGACCATCAATATTACTTGAAATGCCTGATAATTATGTGCAAATGATGCGGAGTGTTGGGATATTTTTTATATAGGAAAGAATTTTTTGCTTTCGATGAGTGGTAATTTCAAAAAAATAATTTTTTTTTTCGACCACACTTTTTTTCTATTATTAACAAGTTCACAGTGTGAGCTTCTGCTACGCGAGAACAAAATTCATTCATTTTAAATTGGGTTTTGCGTCTTCTTCGCCGCAAAATGCAAAAAAAAAAGACATCACTCGGGCCAAGACAATAATCTATTTTATTAAATTCAGAACATATAAATAAGACAGCCGTCACCATATTTTTTTCATTTTTTCTTTCATAGAAAAATTCCTCTCGGACTATTTCAGCGCACGGAACTCAACTTCCACATTCAGCCATGACATCCTCAAGCAATCAAGTTTACACTACGTGAGCACGAAATCATACAAAAAACACACGATTCGATCGGAGCATCAAAATTAGCCAACCATATTATCATTTAGCAAAAAATTTATTTATTTATTTTAATTTAACGATTTAGCACGAATAATAAAAAAAATTTTTTATATCGTGCAGTGTAACTTTACAATACACGGGAAACATTCTGGCAATAAAAAAGTAAGTGATAAATTGGATCTTAACTTGATCTCCAATTTAGAGAGGTAACTAACAACTATATACTGGTGAAGTTTCAGGAGCAATGGGTTCTATATAACGTTTCGCGTAACAACAAACTTCCACTATGCTAAGAATGTATCATGAAGTAATAATAGGTAACGCATACAAAATTTCCATTATTTTCGAATTTCTTCTACACAAGATAGTAAGTATACTTTATAAAAAGAAATATATATTCCAAATACGATTTGTATTAACTAAAATGCAAAAAATGATTGCTTATTATTTTTTTTTTTTGTATTTCCATTTATACTCGTGTTCTCACCTATTTGGATTCCCTTTTCTGGGTATGAGTAAAATAAATACATATTTTGTGAAAACCATATATACTGATCAATGTCTCTTTAGACTTTTCATTTTATTTAATGCAATTCAGGAACAAAATCCACCTGAAACACTCCAAAGTCTCCTCAAATGAGACAACCGGTATGACCTTGATCAAGCACAAAGGTTTCTTGGTAAAGTTCATAATTTTCTTTGTATACATGAATAGCATAGTTGTAATACATCGTGTTTTGATGTTTGTTTCCTAACTCATTTGTAGCTCATGTGAGTGAGAATAACATAATTATGTTATTCTCACTTAGTCTAGGTTATTTCCCCTCAGGTATGACGACGAGATCACATGAGTGTCGTCATTCGAGTGACGATTGGTTCACGAGTTTGTCGTCATACTTAGGCACCTATGACCTATAAAAATATGACGACGAATTTGTGTTCATGTCGTCACACTTGGTCGCTTTGATGGGTAATGGCTTGTATACCCTTTAGAAAGTCAAATTAGATAGCAATAATGTTTTAATCACTAATATAAATTTCCGTATATCAGCTTAATGTTTCTGATCGATTTCCATCGTAATAAAATACCTGAGGTAGGTTATGATAGCCCAAGGTGGGATTCTAGGTTATTTCCGCTCAGGTATGTGTCGTGACGACAGAAATGCGACACCGTCGTCAGTGTCCTTCTGCGTTTTTTATTATAACCCAAATTCGATAACATTATTTGTATACTGCTTTGGTGATTACCACCGATTTCCATTGTAATATAATAGCTGAGGTAGGTTATGCAACCGGGTTGGCCTCATCTCGAGTTTGACGGGTCTGCTCGCGTCCTAGTAAAAAAAGTTAACTGGGACGAATTCAAGACATGCTATCGGGTATATGCTATCAAATACGCGTTGTGTAATTGCTATCAATTAATACTATCTAGTTGCTAACGGGTAGGTCTCTCCCATATTTATTATAATATATTACCGGAGTTACCTACCCTGAAAACATATCCAAAAACATACCATTGATTGGGTAGTCTTCTGCCATAATTATTATATATATTTCTGCAAAAGACTACACCTGCTATCGGGTATACTATACCCATGCTATGAGGCAAAGCCTCGAATCTCTGATTCATCAAATATATGTCGCGTAATTGCTATCGAGTATGCTATATACATTTTAGCGGGTATGCTATCTGTCACTGAAAAATCTTTGGTGACAGCTTTGGTGACAACTTTGGTGACGGGTTTATTATTAAATTTTGGCTTTAAATTCTTTTTTATCTTGTTCTTATATACTGTCACCAAAGTCACTGAAAATAAAGTAAAATTCTAGGAAAAAATAAAACTTTTTCTTATGGTATACCTTTGATATATACCCGATATATACCCGATATATACCCGATATATACTCGATATATATTATATATACCTACCTTTGATATATAATATATATATATATATGTAATATACCCATATATAAAAAAAAAAAGAAAAAAAGCTGGAGAAATTCGATCTTTTTTAGAGTTTTCAGTGACAGACATCTAGAAAGCTTTCTAAAAGTTTAAAAATGCAGAATTTGATAGAGATCTCGACTCTGAAAATTTTCTGTCACTAAAAATTTTCGGTGACACTTGGCCATACTAAGATATCGCATATATACTTACTATGTATTTTCTCCAAGTACTTCTGATTTTTGTGCCATCTTCTCTAGCTTCTTCTGATGCTTATACTCTCTTCTACGATGTTTCTGTGCATGGGGATCACAATAACCATAATCGGAATAAGTTAACTTAACACAACCATATTCTTTACAAGGATAATGAATAGGTGAATCCCGGTGAACTTTGCATCCCTTGGGATGATAACATGGCCAATTACAGATTTCTCCAGTTCTAGGGATATAGGGACAATGATAAAATGCCATTCTTTTTGATGTTTATCTCGATTGAGTATATAATATATACCGATCAATATTCTTTAGAATTAATTTTCATTTTGAATTTTTTAATTCCGAATAATATACTTTCAGAAAAAACATGACTACCCAGAGTGAACATATCACGCCTATTGTTCCCGCATTGTCCAATATACCAACTGTGGAAAACCAAAATTTTGAAGAAACTATCGATCACGCACCGGCAGAAGCACCACTTTCTCGACCAGAGAGCCCAGAAAATTTCGAGCCAGAGATAGAAGAGGAAAATAATGGGGCGTTCTACCACCGGGGTTTAAAGCTTTTCCTCAATCACAGATTTTGGAAAATGGAAAAGCAGAACAATTACTTCAATACTTATTCCACTATTTTGGCAGTGATTATTTAGGAATCCCAACTCGCAACGATATAGTTGCGGAAAATGATGAGGGTTTGTCTGCAATTCTCAATAATGCTTTAGCTAAACGAGAGGAAATCCCTTTCATGGCTGTCGATTTTGAGGGTTCATCAGAAAAAATAGGTGAAAAAAATCATTATGTTTTGCGTCTTTACGGCTCTCCCATTAACGGTCAAAAAGCAGTAGTTACCCTTACAGGAATCCAAATTTTCTTTGATATACTTGTACCTGATAATGAATTTGTAAATGACTTTAAAATAAAAATAGATGAAATTCTTTGTAATACAATAAATATCTATAAAATAGAGCATATTAAGGCCTTCCCATTTCGTGGTTATAATATAGACATTGTGACTTAGGGTTATTTCCTTATCATCTTGAATATACTTGCAATCTTCTTAATGATATTTCACCAGGCCTGTTG